CTAGTTGGTTGCCTCGTCATGATGTTACACTCAGAATTGTTGTTGTTACTATTAGATAGTTGAAGGTAGTCGGCAGGAAGCCTTGGACCACCTGGATTTCCTGCTTGTTGATACTCTCACTAGTCAAGCAAGACGTATCTGCAGTCTTCAAGGAACTCATGTCCCCTGCCTGAGATTCGAAGCCGTGTTGTCACTAGTTACTTAGTACCTAGTGTCCAATCACACCATTTAATACAGTCTGGTAACAACCTCTGAATGCATGCAGTTAGTCAAACTAAGGCGAAAAAATCTACACGATAAACTCAATCAAAGTTATCTACAAACGAAGAAAAAGAATCTTCCGAAAAAAATATTGTCTTCGTATTCTTTAAATTGTTGTCTGGGTGGTTCCATAGTAAGATGTTGGCCAATCACACCTCAATCCCGAACCAAAGCAATCCTAGACCTCACTAGACTTTCAGTAAGTTCCGTAAAGGAGAAATGTTAGACGTGGAGCTAGTACCACTCCCACCCCACCCCACCCACCCCGCAGAGATGACAACCTGACCATTACTGAAACTTCAAAGCATAACGCTTGACTTGAAGTCTTATGTGGAGTAGAGTGAAGATGTGGCACATTGGTCTAAGCACTTGACTTTCAATCGTCAATGGGTCTCAGGGTTCGAGTCGCATCCCTCCTACTGGGTAATATCATATCATTGAGATCTAACCTAATCTATGCTCCACACTAGGATTTATTTCAAATTTGACCGGAGAATGATGCTCAGGAAGGCTTCGTGTGCTTTTGAAAGTGTGTGGGCGGTTGGTACTTCCCGGTTGACCACACCGTGGAAGTTGATTGATTCTTCGAGTACCTGAAACAGAAAGAGGGTTAGTGTTGCGTGACCACAGAGCCCAGGGTACAACTGCTTGAGCCCAGCCGGTCATACACACACGGCCTGTATTAACTGGTTTCTTGGTTTGGTTCCATATTAGTAAACTTACCGCCGGTTACGGACCACCGTAGGTGGGGTAAGTCAGGATGTAAAATTTTGGGGGTCGACCTTTTCTAAACTCTCTCTCTCCGGAATGGAGAGACAGCATAGCTGACCGGCATGATGGTCATCTGTGAGAAACACCTTACTTTGGCTGTTACATCCCTGTTACCCAGCAGTACAACTTCACCCTCAGACCCCAGCATAGTGTAAGAAAGATTCTTAGTCTAATCGCTATCCTAACAACCTTCCTGGCATGGTAGGACTTGCAGGAACATTGCTTCCAGCCAGAGTAGCTTGTTGGGTCATTGCGATGTGCAAGCCCGACCACCACCACGTCAAGGTAGCAGCTATCGGTCAGATTGATATCATAGTTAGAGAACCATTGAAAATCAGGACAAATACTACACACCACACGGATGACATTGGCTGATTGGTGCCAGTCACACTAAAATCATGAATTGGTAGAAGTTGGAATTCATCATCGTCTGGCCTTTGAGTTCGGTCTCTCTGTGGTTGAATGATCTACAAGCTTGACTTGAAACCCGAAGATTTTAGGTTCAACCTTTTTACTTTCGCGATGGTTTCGAACCTAAGACGAAACGGCTAGCTGTCCAATACTCCCTGGTGGTTGTCTAACAATCATTCCATGGTGGTTCTTGCAACTTGAAATAAATCAAATCCCTACCAATACTAAGTCATGACATGAAAAGCCTGGTTAGCTGTCTTTGATCATAGGTGTCTGCGTTCTATCTCCCGTGTGAAGTGGTATAATAAGGTGAGCAATATTGCGGTGAGGAATCGGTCAAGTGCTGGGTAAGGAGGGGAAATCAGTTGACGAGACTGTGAAATTACATCGACTGAGATGGTTAGGACATATATTACGTATGTATGCCTAGTCATCGCCTTCCTCGACAACAGGCAATGTTAGCTGATATGGGGTTGGAAAAGAGCTAGCGGCGGTCAAACCAAAACACGGCACCAGTCAATGAAATCCACAACAGTTAGTTTAAGCCACGTAGGAAGGTGTAGACTACCTGACTGGTTGGGGTCCTCGGGACGGTAAAACCAATGGTTGGAAACAATTGGTGACAAGGCTCAAAATCGTTCTCAATGGTTAGTGCAGATGTATCCACTCCTTGTGACTCACAACATCCAATGAAACTATATTGTTCTTCGATATTACTATACCTTTGTCTCACACTTCTGTTTACTGTCTATATTATGCATTTCTTCTACTTTCTTCTCTTGCTTTGTGTGCTACATGGAGGGAGTGTGGCGACTTGAACTTCCGCACATATGTGCAAAGTTCTATGTCGAAAACAGACAAATTCTACAGAGCCAATACCACAGATAGAATTAATTCAGTGTTAGCACCGTCAAGCGTCTAGTAAACACACAGGACATCTGTTAATCAAGCTTTATCCATGAGTACAGTAACGTCTCCGACAAGACATACGGACGAATTCCACACGAAAACATCAAGCATAAACACACACCATCCAGACGAGTATCAATAAACACGGGTCCCAGTGGCTCAATGGTCTACGAGCTCGCTAGCCTTGTAACCAGAAGGTCCTGGTTTGGAATCCCGGTGGGTGCGTACTGCTGAGGAGTCCCAAACTAGGCTGACGAAACAGCTGTCCAGTACTCCCTGCAGGTTATCCAATGGTTCTCTAATTGATGTCAGCTCATGATGAAATCCTCCATGCAATCAAACAAAATCCCTACAAAACCAATACTTGAAAATTAATCTGATGCTCACTAGTGACTGGGCCCTATTCAGGCAGTTAACCTGGAGTTCTAGTGGGAATCCGTCACCAGTAGGGTACAGCAGGTTGAAGATGAGGCAGTAACTCATCGGAGAAGACATTGCGAAATGGTCGCGCTATGTCGTGAATAAGCAGATATTAGAATTCAAGGACCATTGGATCATGTCCCAGCGGCTAATGAATAGTCTACGAGCTCGCTAGCCTTGTAACCAGAAGGTCCTAGGTTCGAACCCTGGCGGTGGGCGCATACTGCTGAAGAGTGCCAAACTAGGACGAAATCCAGTACTTCCAGTTGGTTTTCCAGTGGTTCTCTAATTGATGTCAGCTCATGATGAAATCCTCCAGGCAATCAAACATGGAAAAATAACTAGATTACAATAGCAAACGCTGTAAGGGTTGAATCATAAATTTATAAGATGGAATAAATGTAGAATATTATAAAACTGTTTGGACAAAGAACTAACGAAGAATACACCGCACATACACACACACACACAAGCGCATAAAAAACCTAATAAATTGTGCATAAATAATTGTGAATGCATAAATTGACACTAGAATTAAACGCCGAAGTGTACTAACAATCAATATGTTGATCAGAAGCACAAACACACACAACACAACGCAACACAACACACCATCTATGAATATATTACAGAATTTATTAGCCTCATTAAATGACTGGTTGTTATGTAATACAGTCAGGCGTATTAAAAAAACACACTTTTGTTTTCGTCTATTTTTGAAATAATGTGAATGTGTAAAAATTTATAGCCAAATTATTTATTGGCTAATGTGTTTGCCTGTTAACCTGTGAAGATTGGATGCCAAGTTTTTAATTAGACGCATAAAGCATACGGACGGACACTCTCCACGCCACTTCACTCCACTCCACTCATTCACTCACACACACACACACACACGCTAACACCAATCGAAATGCACAGATAATGAACTAGAACAACAACAACAACAACAAAAATTGGAATTTTCGAAATGTTTAACAACAACCAAAACATTTGGTGGATGGTGACTTTCAGCAGTAGTGAAATCCACAAGAATGAGCATTTCGTCCTATTTGGCACTCATCAACCGGTGGATGTATCTGCTTAACCCAGTGAGGGATAGTGACTTTTGTGGACAGGCCTTTAGATCCCCAATTACCATCACATAGTATAAGTCGTTTACACCATATTGCAGGTTCTATTAACGAAGTATTACTGAGGTTAGGCATCGAGTGTTAGGTAACGCAGGAAAAATCAATCGATGAGGTATGTGTTACACATGTCTAGACATCGCCTTCCTCTACCGACTGTCAATGTTAGCTGACATAGAATCGATCAGGGAGGAAATAAGCTAGTAGTGATCAAACTCGAACATAGAATCAGTCAATGAAATCCATAACACTTAGTTTAAGCCGACCATGTAGGGAGGTGTAGACTTCCTCACTGCTTGGAGTCTTCGGGATGATAAGAACCAATGAAGGCTGGAGACAGTTGGTGACGTCATAGCTCAAAGTTGTTCTCAATGGCTGGCGCAGATGCATTCACTCTTTGTGGTTTATAATATCCAAGGAAACTTTACTGTTCTTCCATGTTAATATTCTTTTTGCCACATATTTCTGTTCATTATTATCTCTCTTTTGAGTGTCCCTTCACTCACTTCTCTTGCTTTGTGTGCTACATGGAGGGAGAATGGCAATTCGAACTGGTGCATATTTGTATAAATCAGTCATCCAGTAAACGAATTCGTACAGCAATACAAGGTTTCCCTCAGATGACCAGCAGCAAGACAGCTTATACTACTTCTCCGATCAAGAGAAAGGAGAGAGTGGGAAGAAGTCGAACCCGAAAAATGGAACATCCCGATGGTCCGTAGTCGGTGCTAAAATCCTAATGAGGATACAACACCAAAAACCACTTGTGACTGAGTTCAAGCAGTTGTCCCCTGGGTTAGTGTGGTTGCATTCCTTCTCCTTCACGCAGTCAGTCATTCCCTGAATCGTGTGCATTTCACTATCCTTCCTAGACATCATTTTCAGTGCACACATCTTATGTGACTTCAATGACTTCACATAATACTGAAGTTTATGTGTAAAAAGATGTTGTTCAGATGGGAGATGAGCGGCAAACCAATTCAGGGAAAACAAACGACCACACACACATCCACATACTAAAAAAATTATCCATTTTTCAGGAGAGTGATTTATACACAAATTAATGAATAAATGAATAAAATAATTAATTTTCATTACCTGGAGGAGTTTCTTCTAGTCTTGTATGCTTAGGTGCTGGTAATAGCGCTGACAATTCTTGAGCTAATAATAAAAATAATGAAAGGAGAAGATAAACGGGGGTTGGGTGGATAGGAAGAAATAATGATTAATGAGGTAAAAGCAAATACAAGAATTAGAGGGTAATAATCCCCCACACACATAAACAGAAAGAATGGATACCCCTAAATGCTGCATCACAAAAATCCATGAGGCCTACAATTCAATAGAGACTCATCGCGAGAGATACTCAGAAACTGTTTGCGTCCCATTCATCGTTGAAGAAAGTCTTCTTCACACAGCTGAACTACCACTTACATTTTCTACAGAACCACTGGTTCATATGAACGTGAAAAATAAACTACCAATACTGGTCACATTAATGTGTTTATATGATCTTGCCTGCATCTGTGGAACTAGGTAGTGTCAAGCCATACTCACCGTTTACTCACCGTTCGAACGTGGAGGAGAAGGAGAAAAAAAGATCTCTTTTCGGATAGATTTTGGAACATCTAGACGATTCTAGATAATGAGTGATCTTACGAACCTACTTCAGAGTCATCTAGATGGTAGGTGGATATTTCACCAAAGGAGTGCAGGAATCGAAATTCTTCATACCGCAATCCAAATGTTAAATCGTGAACTCCTTCAACAACATTTGTATATCATCTAATGTTTTGATCCTTACTATTTGTCTTTACGCCTATTTAATGTTTAATTTGAATGCTTCTCAGGTATTGGTTTGTGGGTATTTCGATTGATTGGTTACAGGATTTCATCATGAGCTGACATCGGTTAGAGAGCCATTGGAAAACCAACAGGGAGACTACCGCACAGCTGTTTCGTCAGCCTAGTTTGGGGCTCTTCACCAGTACGCATTGACATCACAGGGTTCTAACCCAGGAGCTTCTGGTTACAAGGTCAGAGGGCTCGTAGACCATTAATTCAGCCGCTGGGACTCGATTCAATGGCCTCCAAAGCCTCAGGATGGTCGGGGGTGGGTGCCTTGCGCTGCGGGTTGGCCACCCCTCCGCACACCTCTTGAAATGCTCCCATATGACCGGGCGTCTTACATAGCCTCTCCTGAGGAAGTCCTACTCACTGCCTTCACGTGGCGGAGGTGTTTTTCACCAAAGTGAGAGGGCGAAAGCGGATGCCCGGCGCTCTTCACCGGGTTGACTGTCCATTGGATGACAGTCTAGGGGAGATGGCTAAACCCTGATTCCAAACCTCCAACGACTGGCGTATCAAGCTCACTGGAGCTCACCGGCAGACCTATGGACAAAGGGCTTGTTGGATGTCCTGGATGTCTGGCCCCATTCAAAAAGGCGTATGAACCGAACTCCGGTCACTGGCTGCCAATGGATAGTGGACTCCCTACTCCACTCCTACTGCCTTGTAGGTCACACTTGGTTGTGTAAAGGCTAGAGCTGCACTCTCAAACAAAAGGCCGAGAGATTCTGGGGACATCACTCGTACCAAATTCCCATGAAACTTCATGAACTCTCTTACCTTGTCGCAAAACCTTGCAACAGATCGCCGCGCCTGGGCAGCGATGATTCGAGATGTTCATGAAGCCGGCTCATCCTTCCGTAGGAGATAGCCGAAGTAAAGTAAAGTAAGTACTCGATTCAATGGCCAGTCAGCCCATGAATTCCAACTTCTGCCAATGTATGCAAGATATAGCGCTACCACTTCGCGATATCTTTTTCTTTGATGAGTTACTGTCCTCACCTTCAACCTTCTGCACCCTACTGCTCACAGCTTCCAACTAGAACCCCAGGTAAACTGCCTGAATAGGGCCCAGTCGCTAGTGACCATCAGATTAATTTTCAAGTTTTGGTTTTGAGTAAGTCGCGATCATTCTGACCTCGGACTGCCCACAGAAAGTGTTGGTGTGTGATTCTTGCTGACACAGTCTGTGTGATCCCACCTTGTTGGAAATATTATACTTGATCTTAAGACATTTTCTACGGTTGAATTTTGATGAACTAATTTTGTTCGGAAGTAGTGGTTGTGTACTTCGACAGTCATCTTATCTGTATAACACACATACATCTAACCACGAATAATTAACTGTTTTTCCACCGTCTTTGGAGCATTTGTGAGAGTGTGCGTGTCTCAAGGAAGGATTGGTCAGCAATACAGTAGAACCAATAGATTGGTTGCCTGAGTTGTGGTCAGAAATTCGAATCCAGAGGTCATTGAATGCTCATTCAAGTACCTGAATAGCCAATAAAGCTTGAGCTTATAATTGGAAGGTCCGAGATTCGCCCTGTTGAAGAGTCTAAAACGGGGACGAAACAACTGTCTAGTTCTCAAGATGGCTTGACTTTCAATGATTCATTACATAGTGTTGAAATTAAAGGAAATCAATCATCCACGATATAGGGAAAGAAAAATAGTATATTCAACCACTCTGTAACCTTGAAATCAATAAAATCAATATTTCACGTTAGTTTGTTTGTTTGTTTGTCTGTTAGTTGAATTCCACTTACCTGTACGAATAATCTTGTCTGAATGCATTGCTAGAATAGCTGATGCAGATACCCATTCTTCTAGATCAGGTTCTGGATCCCATCGATGCGCTATACATTGGTATATTCCAATATCATGCTCAGTTACATTAGTGATAGTTAACGTATTATCTATAGATTAAAATGACAAACAAGTAAGAAAAAGAAAAGCCAAATAAGTAGATTACAGTAGTCGAAAGAGATAATCATGATAAATCAATTAAAAAATATACACATATAGATGGATATGATCAGTGAATACGATCTATGGATAAATAAATGCCTGTGCCTATTAAGTCTACCTCCTGTATGAACAATATTGAGGTAAGGCGTACACACACACACCGTTAGTTAGGTAAGGGAGGGGGTGAAGTCGATCGTTCAGGTTGTGAAGCTACATAAATTGACATGACTACTAGGACACGCCGAACTGCCACCACCACCTTCTCACACAAACAAAAAACCTGACATCAATCCATGAAGTGTGCTTTTGACAGCTGGTTTGAGCCACCACCAGTCATTGAGGCAGGGAGGTGTAGATTGCCTTGTTTGAATGAGGGAGAGTTATGGTGATGATGGCTCAAAATCTTTCTCTCAAACATTTCTTTTCATTGTAGTTCCTTTGATTCTCTTCTTTCTATCTCTTTTCTCCATCTTTGTGTGCTACATAGACTGTGCTAACTTGAAATGGTGCACTTCTCTTTGCATGGTTCTACGTTGTTATTATTTTTGTTTATTGTTCCCTTGGGTTCCTAGTGGAACATAGGCCTTCAACTGCACGCCTCCACTTGCTTCTGTCTTCTGCTGTACTTTTCACATGCATCCATGTTAATCCATACTGTTTCAAATCCTCTTCACACGATCTCCTCCATGTCACCCTTGGACGTCCCACTCGCCGCCTCCCTTTCAGGTTCCACTCGAGCAATGGCCTGACACGCGATGTCACCCAGCGGCCACCTCAGCGAGTGTCCAATCCATCTCCACTTTCTCCTACATATTTGTTGGGCGTTTGGTTCCTGTTTTGTTCGTTCCCATAGTTTCTTGTTGGTGATTCTTTCCGGCCATTTGATCTTCAGTATAGAACGAAGACAGTTGCTGATAAAGGTCTGCAACAGGCTGTTGGAAATATTCTTTGTGACCCTCCAAGTTTCTGATCCGTACGTATAGAACTCACTGACTTGACGTCTGTATTGAAAATCCGAATTTTGTTGTTGATGCAGGCTGAGTGACGAAGATTTCCAGATTGGTTTCAGGTTGATGAATGTGTTTCTCGTCTTCCCGATTCTCGATTTGACATCCTCGTGCGTTCCACCTGCCTGCAGTTGAGACAATGCTCCGTAGATAAGTGAATGAAGTAACCTCTTTCAAATCCCTCCCGTTGATGGTGATTGGCGGTGGATGTTGCTGTTGTTGTTGTTGTTGGTTGGTTATTTTCATAACCTCCGTCTTGTCTATGTTCACCTGGAGTCCTGTCTTTGCTGCCATCCTCTTCAACCAGTTTGTCGGTTTTCGCTTGTAAGTCTTCGATTTTGTGTGAAATCAAACATAAATCATCCACGCGCGAAAACCAGGTCTTCTAGGTTCTTCACGTCGGTCCGGTTCTACGCTGAGACTCGATCAATGAAGTCTATTAGTCTAAATGACTACAACTCATAGTTGAATAGCATGTCAAGTAGTTTGTAATATATAGTCATATTGTAGTCATATACATCATGTAAAGCCTTAGGATTGGATAATATTTAGCTGTCTAAATCTTGATAAGTGGAACGAAAACTTTGAACTTATGATCCAGTGTGACTGGAAGTTAAGTAGCCTAGATTATTGAACTTACCAACCAGAGCTCTCTACACTATATACAACAACATCAAGAAGAAGGTGACATATGTGAGAAGCCATACAATGGTGTTAGGCGAAATATAATAAGACGTAGGCGAGATTAACAAACCAAAAGAGGATATGGATAAGGTAGACATCTCACATTAGGCGATTGGTAATCATGCACATTAGCATTTACTCACCAATTGACAAAGATACTCACTTATTAATAATAATTTTCTGATCCAGTGTTATAAACATGTATACAGATACTACTTACTAATGTTTTCAGAAGGAATCTACTTCTAGTCCCTCCCCCCTTATAGATTATTGAATGAAGCTGTGAGTGATACTCAAGCATACTTAAACCTGTTATCTGCTACAATTTTGTTGGTAGTAGTCTAAACGGATATAAATAACTGGATTTCATAAAAGACAAGGCTGTCTGACTACTGCTATCACCCATGATAATAGTCCTAATTGTGGTGGACTGGAATATGAGCAACACCGTGAGCGGGGAGCGATAAGATAGGAATCTGTCTGTCTGGATTCAACATAGAACTCGCCACCGAAGTGCAGCAGTTCCAGTTGCCAAGTTCCAAAGAGCACACAAAGGTAGACTAGAAGATCAGTGAAGAGAATCAATAGAGTTTTGACAAGTATACGAGTGAAATAGAATGAGTAATGGTAGAAAGGAATATGAAAGATTACACGAGAGACTGAATACATCTGCGTAAGCCATTGACAACGATTTTGAGCCATGTCACCTATTGTCTCCAGCCATTGATTCTTAGAGTCCCGACCGAAAGCTGCTACCTTGACGTGGTGGTCAGGCTTGAACACCGAAATGACCCAACAACCTATACTGGCTGAGACTTATGTCGCTTGAGGTCCTACCATGCCAGAAAGGTTGTTTGAATAGCGGTTAGACAAAAAGCAGTTACCCAACCCAACGCTATGACTCAAAGTAAATCACAAAATATCATACCGGATCGGTTGGGGCCCGGATTAACAACGACCGCGCTTCCTGCTGCCGTGTCACAGGGCAGAAGTGATAAATATGCTACTGAGACACGCTAAATGAAAAAGAAAAAACAAAAACAGGCCGTGTGTGACTGGCCTCAAGCAATTGTCCCCTGGGCTCTGCGGTCACGCAACCAACTTCCACGGTGTGGGCAGCCGGGAAGTAACAATCGCCTTCACAATCCGAATTGCACGCGAAACCTCTCTAATCCTCATAAGATAGGAATACGTTGGACTGACCGATAAGGAAACTGTAGAAGATCTGGATTTGGAGCGTCGATGATTTATGTCTAGTGCTAAACAAACTCGAAGATTTACAGGTGAAAAACCAACAAACTGGAAGAAGAAGTAGACAGGCAAGACAGGACTCCAAGTGAACATATAGAAAACGGAGGTAATGAAGATAATCAACCAACCAACCAACAACAAGAACAACAACTAGCACCAATCATTATCAACGGAAGAAATTTGACAGAGGTTACTTCCTTCACTTATCTATGAAGCATGGCTTTAACTATAGTCAGATGGCATTGATGGGGATGACAAAAGCAGAATGGAAAAGGTAAGACACACCTTCATACACCTGAACTCAGCATAATCAACAAGATTCGGAATGTATTCAACACCATTGTGAAATCAGCCAGTCAGTTCTTCTATATGGGTCAGAAACTTTGAGTGCACGTCAGGAAAAGGGTTTCTAACAGGTAACTGCAGACTCTTTATCTATAGCTACCCACTTCGATGGCTTCATACTGAAAATCCCATTACCAGCCAGAAAGAGAATTAGCAACAAGAAACTCTGGGAGGCAATGAACCGATCAAGAACCTGCTGCTCAATAAATATATGTAGGAGAAAATGGAGATGGATTGGGCACATGCCACTGAGGAGACCGTAGAATGACATCACACGCCAGTCCATCACTCAAATGGAACTTAAATGGGAAAAGACAAGTTTGGCGTGAGTCAGAAGGTAACATTGAGGAGATCGTGAGAGGAAGAGACCAGAGACTAAGGGTAGTTGTGAGATCGACTAAAGAGGATCGAAGAGAAGAGGAAAAGGTGGAGCCCTTTATTCCACTCGGAATCTAAGAGAATAATGATAATATAAATATTATTGTTATAGTAATTTGAGCCGGCGGTTCAATGATAGAATGTTCGCCAACCATGCCTCATCACATGGTCCATAGTTCGATCCCCGGACGGACACCTAGGCACTCGTAAATCTCGCTTAGGCGGTAAATAAACCTGGCGCAGAGGGAGTGTAAGGTGTGAGGTTAACGAACCCGCCCCCCCCCCGTGGTAAACATGGCAACCTACCCGCTACTGAAACTTCATAGGTAAAGCTAAAACCACCCTCTACGAGGCTCGCCACTCGGAACGCAAATAAATGAACGAGAGAAATAAAAAGATTATGCTAACGAAAAACGAAACGAACAGTCTTCACAGATCACACACACACAACTCTTGAATGTTAACCAGAGATGTGAATATGAATAAATATGCGATAGCATGCATACATGCATGATATAATAAACAAAGGCTTAAAATTCAGTACAAGTCAATACACTTGCAGAAAATAGAAAGCAGTAATGTAAATCATTGTAATATAGCTAATAATTGATTGAAGATTTATAAGTGAGCCACGATCAGATCTATTCTGAAAAAAAAGTTATTCAGCCGCCGCCTATCACACATTTCTCATGGACTTAACCGAAAGATTACAGACAACATATTTAGGATAGTTCAGTTTAGATTTTAAGGAAGAAAACTTTGTAACTCCATTATGGATAAGATTTTATTTTGATAAATCACACAGTGTTACACAGTAATATTAACTAATGACGTTTCGAGCACAAATTATCCCTCATAATCATATCAAGTTACTCACACAACTTTTTCCTGCATTAATATATATATATATACAAGACCCGAGAGAGAGGCATAGTCGAAAAATCACATTCAAGTAAAAACAGAAATCTGTTGAAGATTTTAACCACTGAAAAATAACCCAGCAACCACCACCATTTTATAAAAATTCCAACTTCTATCAATTCTCAATACTGTAGCAAACAAAAACCGATACTTTGTGATAGTCTAATAATCAGTTTTTTCTGTTTTCTGTCTTACCCCTCCACCCCCCTCTTTTCAACTTTGAAAGCGTATAAATCGATGATGAAAACTTAAACCAGAAATTGTAATGCCCACATTTTGGATGTGTCAATTTTATAGTATTTCTTCTCTAATACCACTTAAGCATTAAAGTATGTTATTATCATCTATATAACCATTGTAAT